CACACACACACACACACACGCACTTCTATGCGGGTGACGCTGTGCCGTCTGCATATATGCACAAGACTTGCCTGCTCGAAAGTATCAGCAGGAAAGCATACATAAGCAGGCAGCAGACACGTACGTACATACACGAGCGCATGCAGCGCACACACACATACATATACACACACACACGATCTGTTGGTTCCTCCTGATGGAAAAACTCTTCTGATGGTTTATTCCACCGTCACGGTCCGTGGTTACATTTGGAGATTTTTCTCACAATGTCATGTCACGTTGTTGCGAAACACCTGTGCCGTCTGCAAGTCAGAGCCAAAGCTCCTGCTCGAAATTCCATGCAATCTGACTAGTTTAACCCGGAATCACGCAGGTGCTGGCAGCGGAGCTCGAGCATCGCTTGCCATTAGACTGGCCCAATCAGCATGGGACCGTGGCAGCGCTCGCGCAGCAGCCACTAGGACAGCCAATCATAGGACATCTGTGTCTGTAGCTACAGCTACAGATGCATGCTTTCATTTATATACTTACGTTGGTATGCATGCATGTAGGGTCTGTCTGTCTGTCTGCCTGTGTGTCTGTCTGTCTGTCTGTCTGTCTGTCTGTCTGTCTGTCTGTCTGTCTGTCTGTCTGTCTGTCTGTCTGTCTGTCTGTCTATGTGTCTGCCTGCCTGTCTGTCTGTCTGCCTGTCTGCCTGTAGGTTATATATATATATATATGCATGTGCCTGTGTACGTATGTATACAATAAATGGTAGCCACCGGACCACTATCGATTTACGCATTACCTTGTTTACTTATGTTATGCGTCGTGTGCTCTACTAGCAGACTCCACGTCCCATCCAAACTTTGAGAAACGACTTTTGGAACCATAGACAGACACCAAGCCAAATGCTCTAAAGCCGCGAGCAAGCTCTGCCGGCGCCTAAATGCTCGTGCCGGTACTTCTCTTTTTGAGCATATGAGAGCCATACTTGGAGGTTCATGGGTAGTTATAAGTGGGGTTATAAGTACCCCAATAGACTTATAATTACAGTTACCGTACTTATAACCCTATACTTAGAACTACCCATGAACCTCCAAGTAAAGGAGGCAAGTGTTCTAGACCCAAACGATCATTAGGTGCACCCAAACCCTTGCACATGCAGCCCGCCGTCGAAACGACACCTTCCAAGACATCCCAGGTTAGGCTCCCACATTATGGAGGCGAGGAAGGAAGCTCGGATGCTTTGGGCATGGGCGCGATCGTTCCGTTGTGACAGGTCGGATGAAGCATGTACAGATGTGCTGACATGTTTGCAGATTGGTCAACCTGTGTATATACTCTGCATGCCGTTTACGTGCTCTTCTATGTGAATACTATGTACTTATGAATGAACAAATGAAGGAAATAATGAAGTAGAATGAATGAATGAATTAATGGAATGAATGGAATGAACGGAATGAATGGAATGAATGGAATGAATGAAATGAATGAAATGAATGAAATGA